ACCATCAACTGCCCCTGGTAGCTCACAATCCTCAAATACTGGAAGATCACCATCAACAACCACTGGAAGCTCACCATCAACAAACACTGGTAGCTCACCATCAACAAACACTGGAAGCTCACCATCAACAAACACTGGTAGCTCAACATCAACAACCACTGGTAGCTCAACATCAACAGCAACTACTGGTACCTCACAATCGACAGCAACTACTGGTAACTTACCAGCAACAACAACTGGCGGCGCGACAACCACTACTAGCAGTTCAACATCAACTGCCACTGGTAGCGCACCACCAGCAACCTCTGGTAACTCACCCTCAACAACCACTGGTTTACAATCAACAGCCACTAGTAGCTTACCACCAACAACCACTGGAAGCTCATCATCAACAACCACTGGCAGCTCACCATTAACACCTACTGGTAGCTCGCCATCAACAACCACTGGTAGCTCAACATCAGCAACCACTGGAAGAACACCATCAACGACTGGAAACTCACCATCAAAAACAACTGGAAGCTCACCATCAACAACCATCAGTAATTTACCATCAACTGCCACTGGAAGCTCGCCATCAACAACCACTGGAAGCTCACCATCAACACCCATTGCTAGCTCACCATCAACAACCACTGGTAGCTCTCCATCGGCAGCAACTACTGGTAGTTCACCATCAACAACTACTGGTGGTACGACAACTATTGGTAGCTCACCATCAGCAGCCACTGGGAGCTCACCACTAACAACCACTGGAAGCTCTCCATTGACAACAACTACTGGTAGCTCATCATCACTAACAACTGGTGGTGCGAAATCCACAACTACTGGTAGTTCATCATCAACAACTGGTGGTGCAACTTCAACAACTAATGGTAGCTCACCATCAGCAACCCTTGGAATCTCGACACCAACAACCACTGGTAGCTCATCATCTACAGCAACTACTGGTAGTTCACCATCAACTGCCACTGGTAGCTCACCCTCGGCAACCACTGGTAGCTCACCACCAATATCCACTGCTAGCTTACCATCAACAACTACTGGTAGCTCAACATCAGCAACCACTGGTGGTTCGACAACTACCACTAGTAGCTCACCATCAACAACGACTGGAAACTCACCATCAACAACCACCAGTAGCTCTTCATCAACTACCACTGGTACCTCAATACCAACAACCATTGGTACCTCAACACCAACAACCATTGGTACCTCATCATCGACAGCAACAACTGGCGGTCCGACACCAACCACTGGTAGTTCACCATCAACAACCACTGGAAGCTCACTACCCACTGCCACTGGTACCTCACCATCAATAACCACAGGTAGCCCACCATCAACAAACACTGGAAGCTTACCATCAACAACCATCGATAGCTCACCATCAACAACAGCTGGAAGCTCACCATCAACAACCACTGGTAGCTTACAATCTACAACCACTGGGAGCTCGCCATCAACAACCACCGGTAGTTCACCATCAACAATTGGTAGCTCACCCTTAACAACCACTGGTACTTCATCCTCGACAGCAACTACTGGTAGCTCACCATCTTCAACCACTGCAAACTCGCCATCAACAACCACCGGTACCTCACCATCAATAACAGCTGGAAGCTCACCACTACAAC